TGCAGACGGGGTTGCCTTGGTTGCACTCAAGCATTGTAGTTTGATGAACATAAATCTTCCTCTGTGCTACATCAGTGCTTGGCCTGTCATCTTCCGCATTGGTAAAGGGATGCTTTGTGTTTAGGGGGTACTTGAGAGAGAGAGCTCCTACATTAAAATAACTCTGTATTTAGTCTGTTTTAGTTTTGTTGAGGTTTCCATTAGGAAGCTCCTTTAATATAAATTTTCCTTAAAGCAAACCCGACAGCTTTATAGTTGCATCCTATAGTGCCTCAAATTGTCGTAAGTTCACAGCCTACTCTGGCTCCTGGCCTGGCCTACATCCCGCCAGATATGCTTCCACACTAATATATCAAGGTGAAAGTCATTATAGCTTATTTAGTATAGACCCAGCTCCCAATCTAACTGTGAGAATAGATTAATGGCGATATTTTTTTTATTGCCACAAACACCATCCCCTCTGCCAACTCTCCCCTCTCTTGATTTGGTCTTCCTTGTTGACCTTACCTCACGTGATTTCTACATTATCACCAATTTCCACATGAAAATATTAAACGTTAGTCATTGCTGTTTTGGCTGGATGAAGCTAGTGCTACAGGGCATGTCAGTTACTCAAAATGCACATGTCTGAGCTATAGTATTTTATTTAAATGTATTTCAATCTGAAAAACTCACACAAAGAGAAAAGACAATTAGGAGAAATTTATTGATACAATTACTTTGTCTTTGGCGCTCATACCTCGGTAGGAAACATAGCGCTTAATTTTGATAGATATGGATGAAAAAGAGCAAATAGGGCTGTTTCCCCCAGTTCTGAAACTGGTGGTAGAGTGGAGATAGATGAAGTTGGTCAGTCTGTAGACTGCTGGTTAGTGAGACGGTCTGCTGAGCTTCATGGGGAGATCCAGTGGACTGCATGAGCTGATACTAGAGCTTCACTCAGGGACCTTGAAGATGGAAGTCCAGTTTGGATAATACAGGTTGAGAGAACCTGTCCATGATGAGCAAGCATGAAGCGACAGTGGAAAGGAAAAACTCCCCGTTGGGAAGAAACCCGTGGCAGAATCAGGCTCAACATGGCGGTCTTCTACCAAACCGTTTGAGATGAGACACGGAACGCAGTAAGAGTCCAGGAGGAATGACACTCTAGTGAAGCTTTAGCTACAATGGTGGAGGAGGGGCTGGAGGTGAGTTGAAACGGGGTCATCTGAATGAAGTCACAGCGCATCCACCACCTGCGCACAGGAGCAGACAGTGCGTATCGGAGGCCTTTTAAGATAAACTTTGGATGCTGTTTGGCTTTCGTGGAGGCGTGGTTCAAAGCTGATTGGCTGTTTCGCAGGTGGATAAAGTAGAGCAATCAGTTTCTTCAGTTCAGCTTCTGCCTAGGCTCAATTAAAGCAAAACAGCTTACAGTATGTTTTTTTTACTATATTCTATTTACATCCAAATAAACATTTCTCAAATAAAGTCTATTGTTACATCTTATTGTGAATTCCTTTTAAAGCTGAACTGCTGTTTAAGACTTTGCTCTTGTTTTGTTAAACTTGTTCATATTTTGATTTATGCATTTTATATATTTTTTTTCACTTAAATCCAGATTCAAGTGAAACAAATTTTGTTTGTTGTATAAAACCAAACCAATTGATAAAAACAATACCTACATGCAATTTGTTGAGTTTGAATTATGTTTAAGGTAAAATTTAAAAAGTGTGTATAAGTAAACTGCTTTTATTGAAACTGATATTAATGAAACCTTGTAATAAATAAAGTTTGACCAAAATTTTTGATAAACGGCGATGAAGGGCCTGAAAGGGCCCAAATGCAGTTTCGATGCAGTTACCGCATCAAAGTTACTAGAGGTTTCAAAAACCCCCCAAAACATGCAGTTACTAGAGGTTTCAAAAACCCCCCAAAACATGCAGTTACTAGAGGTTTCAAAACCCCCCCAAAACATGCAGTTACTAGAGGTTGTAAACCTCTAGTAAGTGAACAAACATTCAATAAGTATTTGATTTAAGGGTAGATTGCTTGCAATGAAATATGTCAAAGAGCACAGCTGTAACACATGCTGCCTTTCAGGGAGGTACTAAGTGTTGGTATTGAATAGGTTCAAGGACAGAAATAATATAAACATAATATTTGATCATTTTTTTTCAAACTTCGGCATTCTCTTTGTTGTCAATCAGATCAAACTGGGGTTAAGTTCCTGGAAGTTAGGAACCAAAAGGTGTTGACCAACTTTTCTTACACCTTCACCAGCTGTTTCTCCACCATGTATAACTTCACCAATGTGCTTCAGGTAACCTTTGGTAAAGATTGGTTGACTAACTTTTTTGCCTTTCATTACTGCTTTTGTGAATATCAGATTCCGTAAGTCAAGTTTTCCAAAAAATATGGTTTGAAAACAAATTTTTTAAACTTTTTTTTTTTTTCATTAAAGAGATGTTAATTGTTACATCATATTTTGGTAAAAGTTTTTTCAGTTTTTTTTTTGACAAAACGTAATAAATGAGTTTAGTCACAATTTATTGAATCGTACTTAGGTAAGGTCTAATCTTTTTTTGACAAATTTTAGAATAGAATAGAATACAATAGAATACAATAGAAGGAAGGATCCTTTCACTATGCAAAAAAAAACGTCTCCTTCGAGCAAACTGTTTCCATTTTACATTTTAAACAGAGGTTAACATGAGTAAAACAATTTCATTTTAAATTTCAGAGTTTTTTAGAGTAACAAAAAAGGATATGAGTTGCATGTTTAGACCTAGCCTTATTTACCTCTTCTTACCATTTCTCTTTGACTGATATTAGATCAGACTGGTTTATATCTCCCTCCATTATTTTCATCTGTTTTGAATAGTTGAGGAATGTTTGTTATTTCTTTCACAATAGTACCTATGCTCTTTAAAGTTACATTTATTTTTAACTTTACTTAATTATAAAGTTAATGATTTTGACCAGATGTATGACTTTTTTCCCCACGAAAATTAAACCCCATGCTTTGTGTTTCAGCTGGTGCAGAGTCTAGAGCTGCTCCAGTACCTGGGGGTAAACAGAGTTGTTGTTTACAAGACAAACTGCAGCGCTGATACGCAGCGTGTGTTGGACTACTACACTAAAAAAGGTTGAGCATGCACACCCATATTTGTCTTTGTCTTTATAAAAAGCCTGTGTTAATGCCCCACAACCCATACCCATATGCTTTCAGGATTTTGTTGCTGTGATTGATGTCTATTTCCAGCAGTGATTAGAGGAGTACAGCCTAGACGGGCCCCAGTTCAGTTTTAGGGCAGCATGCATTAAACAATAGAAATACAGTCAGGTCCATAAATATTGGGACAACAACACACTTCTAATCTTTTTGGCTCTATACACCACCACAATGGATTTGAAATTAAACAAACAAGATGTGCTTTATCTGCAGACTTTCAGCTTTAATTTCAGGGTATTTACATTCAAATCAGATGAACGGTGTGGGAATTACAACAGTGTGTATATGTGCCTACCACTTTTTAAGGGACCAAAAGTAATGGGACATATTAATAATCATAAATCAAACATTCACTTTTTAATACTTGGTTGCAAATCCTTTGCAGTCAATTACAGCCTGAAGTCTGGAAGGCATAGACATCACCAGATGTTGGGTTTCATCCCTGGTGATGCTCTGCCAGGCCTCTACTGCAACGGTCTTCAGTTCCTGCTTGTTCTTGGGGCATTTTCCCTTCAGTTTTGTCTTCAGCAAGTGAAATGCATGCTCAATCGGATTCAGGTCAGGTGACTGACTTGGCCATTGCATAACATTCCACTTCTTTCCCTTACAAAACTCTTTGGCTGCTTTCGCAGTATGCTTTGGGTCATTGTCCATCTGCACTGTGAAGCGCCGTCCAATGAGTTCTGAAGCATTTGGCTGAATATGAGTGGATAATATTGCCCGAAACACTTCAGAATTCATCCTGCTGCTTTTGTCAGCAGTCACATCATCAATTAATACAAGAGAACCTGTTCCATTGGCAGCCATACATGCCCACGCCATGACACTACCACCATGCTTCACTGATGAGGTGGTATGCTTTGGATCATGAGCAGTTCCTTTCCTTCTCCACACTCTTCTCTTTCCATCACTCTGGTACAAGTTGATCTTGGTCTCATCCGTCCAAAGGATGTTGTTCCAGAACTGTGAAGGCTTTTTTAGATGTTGTTTGGCAAACTCTAATCTGGCCTTCCGGTTTTTGAGGCTCACCAATGGTTTACATCTTGTGGTAAACCCTCTGTATTCACTCTGATGAAGTCTTCTCTTGATTGTTGACTTTGACACACATACACCTACCTCCTGGAGAGTGTTCTTGATCTGGCCAACTGTTGTGAAGGGTGTTTTCTTCACCAGGGAAAGAATTCTTCGGTCATCCACCACAGTGGTTTTCCGTGGTCTTCCGGGTCTTTTGGTTTTGCTGAGCTCACCGGTGCGTTCTTTCTTCTTAAGAATGTTCCAAACACTTGATTTGGCCACACCTAATGTTTTAGCTATCTCTCTGATGGGTTTGTTTAGATTTTTCAGCCTAATGATGGCTTGCTTCACTGATAGCGACAGCTCTTTAGATCTCATATTGAGAGTTGACAGCAACAGACTCCAAATGCAAATAGCAGACTTGAAATTAACTCTGGACCTTTTATCTGCTCCTTGTAAATGGGATAATGAGGGAATAACACACACCTGGCCATGGAACAGCTGAGCAGCAGATTGCCCCATTACTTTTGGTCCCTTAAAAAGTGGCAGGCACATATACACACTGTTGTAATTCCTACACCGTTCATCTGATTTGGATGTAAATACCCTCAAATTAAAGCTGAAAGTCTGCAGATAAAGCACCTCTTGTTTGTTTCATTTCAAATTTATTGTGGTGGTGTATAGAACCAAAAAGATTCGAATTGTGTTGATGTCCCATTATTTATGGACCTGACTGTATATTAGAGTACTGTAGCTCATCCAGCTTGTTGGGGAGTTGAAGTTTTTTAGGGCCTTATGGTGTGTTAGATTTACCTTGGAACTTGGAAATTGTGTTGGATGTGGCAATAACGTTCCAATTTTAAATTTCTGACATTGCTCTTTCAATTTTTCTTATTTGTCCACTACTGCCACTCTTACAACAATGTCAAAGCATAAACAGCATTGAAACATCTTGTCATAAAATAAGTTATTTAATCTTAGATATATTAATAAGAAATGCTAAATACCGCTAAAGTATGAAATTATAACACAAGTCAATGGCAGCCATTTTGACTTTTTGAGGCATTCCATTAGAATTTTTCAACTCTTAGATTTGAATTTTGAAATCTGAATTCTGAGTACAAAATAAAATTCCTCAAACTGAGCTTCATCTGGATAGGTGACCAGGCACTCCAGTAGCGGAAGGGTGAGGAGTTTGACTATTTGGAAGAGACTATGAATAGCTGCTTGTTGTGAGATTGGTATACCTCAGGGCATGTCCGGGCAGGAGGAATCCTAAGGAAAGGCCCATGACTATTTCTTCCGGTTTGCCTGGGAACACCTCAGGAGAAGGAGTCGCCTGGGCGACTTCTGCCCCCAAATGTTCTCTGGAGAAAGATTTGATTGTCAAATTTGTTAAAGACATAGCTGGTTGACCTCATGGCTGGATGAACAAGTCCCAGTGTTTATGACATTGCTTACAAAGGGCTGAAGTCATGTGGTGCTTTCGTTATAAATGCAAAAAAGGCTGCAGTAAGGCTATCAAACTGAATAACACTGCACCAACTATCAAGGATGGTGGTGGCATGGTAGTGGCATCATCGTGTTGTGGGGTTACTACCCCACCACTCCCCCTTGCCGAATTCCACTTCTCCAATTAGAACCACAAAAAAACACAAAGGCAATCAGAACAGTACATAGCACATCATGAGAAAAAAGTGCAAAAAAAAGAAAAAAGTACAACACACAAAAACTACATACAATCAGATTTCAAATACACAGGAAAGCAATACACAACCATGCCTTCCAAATGTAGAAATGTCTCTGGGCAAGTCCAAGTGTTTATGACGTTTTTTGACAATGAACTAAATTCATATGGTACTTTCCTTATTCCTGAAAAAAAGGTAGCAATAAAGTTATCAAACTGAATAACACTGCACCAACTTTCAAGGATGGTTGTGGCATCACCGTGTTTTGGGTTTACTTTCCCACCGGGGTGAATTACCTAAAGTGGTGAAAACAGTCGCCGTAGATCAACTGTGTTAAATCTTGATGTGGGGCTGCTTGAATATTCATCTACCAAACTAGCAGTTTTTGGTTCCTTACTATATGTGGATGTAGGGCTTAGTTCCAGCTTGAATGGAAATTTGCCAATGAAATGGACCAACAACCTAACAATCCAATCTTCCTTTGTCTTCCCAGGTTTAGTTGAGGTGATTCCTTGGTCGTTGTCTAACTATCTAACTGTATCTCGAAAAGCTCTCCCTAAACAAGATCCTGCTGACATCCACTACTTTGGCCAGATCCCTGCTCTCAATGACTGCCTTTACAGATACATGTACCAGTCCAAATATGTAGCCCTCCATGACCCTGATGAGTACATCTTGCCTCAGTCAGTCAACAGGTGAGACGTCTGTTTTAAAGGGCAATCATTTTACAATTTTTAAGATCTATAAAAGAGAGAGGGACAAGTAGAAAGGGTTGGGAAAGGAGGAGAGGAGTGTCAGGGGTGCAATTTGATGAAAGTGCAGCTGCAAGAGAAGTATCCTGATAAGGCCTGCTGCAAAGTAATGGGAAACCTGTTTGGAGACATTTGGAACTTAGTTTGTGGGTAGGATAAGAGAAGGATTTTAAGGATAAAGTTTACATTTCACTGAGAAGGTGGATGGATGCAATGATTGGGGATATGTGGAGGGATGTGTGTGCAGGGGGAATCTGATGATCAGTCACAAAAAGAAACGCTCTGATTAAACTCCCCCCCCCAAAAAAAACAAGGTTAGGATGGTTAAGTTAAAACTCATAATAGGTTCTATGTCTTTCAATCAACTTTTTAAAAAAGTATGTTATATTGTGTGTATATTGTTTAAACGTTTGCTCTGATTTGTGTCTTTGCTCCAAAATATTTTGATTAACATTTCTTTGATTGATTGGCCTCCATCTTAATGCACCTTTCAGAATACCCATATCGGGAGGGGAGGGGGGCTTTAATATGGTTTGACTCCATGAAACTGATAGAAGAGGAACAAAAGAAAGGACAGACCAACAATTAGCATCTAATGCATTGTGGAAGTTGTCTATTGACCAGTCTTTGATTGATATCTTGCGTGTGATCAGTACTCGAGTTGAGAGGGGGGTTGAGGGGGGATGGCATCCCCCTTCTTAAAAAAAAATCTTAAAAACCTTTTTAAATGACCATCCCTCCATACCATCCCCTGTGACATTTTATCACTGAATGTGTAAATTTCTATAATATATTAACCGTAACCCTTTCAACATGTGGCAGGCTGTGTGCTACTCTTAAGCGCACAGCCTGCACTGTTCTGAACAGTATCACAGCCAAGCGGCAAAGGCAATGTGAATTAAGCTGTATGCTAAGGTGCTAGCTTCACGTTTAAAATGTCATATGCAGTACAACATGACCAAACTGGGTTTATTAAATCCAGACTGGTATCCAACATTGTCTGCCGCTTGGTACATATAATCGTTTCAGTTAAAGGCAAACAGGTCAGGCAGGAACAAGACGGTGCAGTGGTTGAGAGGTAGAACCGATCAGGATCAGGAAACAAGAAACAAGAAACTCTAAAAACACTCTCACCACTGGCTAGAGAGAACAAGATAATCTGGCCTTGATAACTGGATGCAAGCACCTTAAATGGAGGCAGGAGTAGGTGGATAAGATAAGCAGTGATTAGAAACCGGGCACAGTTTGACAGGTGAATGGAATGAATAATTAAGTCAGTCATCAGCGCTGAGATCATGAGAGCTGGTTATTGTAAAATAAAAAACTGACTGTTTTCCTGTCATTTTGTTTACAGTTGGGTGGAGCTGTTGCCAATCCTGGAGAAAAGATATGGAGCTGGCAAGTGTTATATATTTGAAAATAACTGGATACCAGTTGAATTCGCATTGACACCTCCACCCCCGCACACCCTGCCACAACAGAAGCAGTGGCAGAACATCTCAGGGGTGAACATCCTGACTCACATCTACAATGAGCCCATTGCACCCAAGCCTGCGTTTAACAACTACAAAATCATCACCAACCCTCGAGCTGTGTTTGCTGTTAGTGTCCACGGAGTTCTTAAACCATGGAAAACCTGCACTTGGACAGACAGGAAGATTGCCCGGATGTATCACATCAAGTAAGCTAACTCTTCCTTTCACAGAGATCAATCCATTCTGTTTCTATTAACGGCCAAAAGTGGTTTAATGTAAAATGGTTGAAAAAATCTCATCAGAATGTCAAAATTGAAGATTACATCTGCAATGAAAGCGAAAGCCTATTTTATTGAAAAGTGTATTAAAATGACAACCAGCATTATTTGTATTATTTACATTATTTGTATTCATGCATGTTGGTAAATATGTATTTGTAAACATCAACTAAGGGTGAAGGGTTGTTAGAGGTTTGAGTAGATCAGAAACCTGGCAACACTTTGCCTAACCACAGCAAAATGCAGCAAGTCTCAGCCTCTGAAATATAGAGGCATAGGGATTGCGGACGGCCCTACAAAACAACCATGCATAGGTATATCCAAAGCAAAGCACAGGGTTAAGCAGTCCAGAGGAGACCAACATTTTTGCAGCCACCAAAAGATTGGTGGGAGGGAGATGATAACTGGGGGGTGATATCTTGTGGTTTATTGATTATCTGATCCAAAGTCATATCAATTCATAATGTCAATGCCTTCAACGTGCGCAATCATATCAGTCAAACTGCCCTTGACCATAATGAACTTTTTGAAGAGTTTCAGTCTTGCTTTCGAGCTCATCATAGCACTGAATCAGCTCTGGTGAAGGTTGCAAATGATATTCTCAGAGCCTCATATAATGGACTTTTGTTTGTTCTTTTCCAGTTAGATCTAGTGCTAAATTTGATACAGTTTATCATCATATTCTTTTAGAAAGACATGGTAGCAATTAAGGGAGCAGCACTTGCTTTAAATCTTATTTGAAAGAGTTCAGTTTGCTCACGTTAATGATGAATCTTCTTAATGGTCCAGGGTTAATGGAGTACCATAGGGCTCAGTGCTTGGACCAATTCTCAATTTATTTGTATGGGATTAATATGATCTCAGATAATACAGTAAAAAATCTTGGTGGTTATTTTTGATCAGGAGGTTTGATCCCATATCAAAGAGGTTTCATGAATTTCCTTCTTTCATCTGCGGAATATTGCAAAAATTAGAAATATCTTTTACAGGAGTGAGAAACTAGGCCATGCATATCAGTAAATCCACAAACTGTTGTTAAAAGCCTTCAGCTGATCCAAAATGCTGCAGCCAAAGTTATGCAAATAAAAATAAAAAAGGAGATCATATCTCTCCTATCCTAGCTTTTCTTCATTGACTTACTAATAAATCCAGAATGTCATTTAAAATCCTACTCACATCTTAAGCCTTAAAAGACCAAGCTCCGGTTTATATCAGAAATCTGATTGCTCCTTGTGTTCCAAATAGAAAAACTGTTCTCAATCTGCAGTGGTTTCTAGAATTTCTAAAAGTAGAATGGGAGGCAGATCTTTTAGTTATCAGGCTCCTCTCCTGTGGAACCATCTACCACTTTTAGTCCGTGAGGCAGACACCCTGTCTACTTTTAAGGCTAGGCCTAAAACCTTCCTTTTTGATAAAGCTTATGATCAGAGTTGCTCAGGTTATCCTGAGCTATCTCTATAGTTATGCTGATATAGGCTTAGACTGCTGGAGGACATATGGACCCCTTTTCTCAATTCTGCTTCATTCTCTCTATTCTCCCATTCTATAGTATTTATTAGTTCAATCTCTTACATGCTCTCACTGCTTTATCTCATCATACTGTAGTAGCTTCATCTGGTCATTTTCCTGTTTGTATTTGACACCATGGGCCACCTGTGGAGCTGGTTGATAGTTGCCTTTTGTAACTCTATTTCTTTCTGTATGTCCATCTGTATGTCTCCTTAACCCCAGTCAGCCTCGGCAGATGACGGTTTACACTGAGTTAACTGTTCAGAACCGAGTTCTGCTGGAGGTTTGTTCCTGTTAAAAGGGATTTTTCCTCTCCACTGTCACTACAAGCATGCTTGGTGTGAGGGATTGCTTTCGAGTCATTGAGTCAATGCAATCAGCTGGTCTTTCTTAGATAGAAAACTTAGAATAGAGAGCAGAGAGACTTTTATCTGAGCTAAGAAAAAGAATTTAAAGTAGCTAACACATTAAAAGGTCCTTTAGATCAGTGATTTGATCTGTTTTGTGAGGACCCAACTACAAAATAAAAAAGCTTTATTCAACTAAAAAGTGTTTCTTATATGTTTCGTTCACCTTTAGCTTTGTTACAAATCAAAACCAAGCAGAGAAAATGTCTGGATTTAGAGAACAGCCTGGTATCAGCTTTTTTTCAAAGCAAGCTCAGGTGTCATGAATGTTGAAAACAATAGAAAAAAAGTTTTTGCTTAATAAATTGGTAATAAATATAACACCTACTTAGTCTTTTTCATAGTTTATGTTGTGATTCTACAAACACAGCTGTGAGTTGTTTATTCTATTGTGGGTTGCAGTATTCAAAAGAAATTAACCACAGCAATTATTCACTAATATACCTGTCATGGAATTACACAAACCAGTCAGAAAAGCACTGAGCAATTTCAAAAAGATTCCTAATTTATTACAAAAAATGATAAATTGGGCCCAAATTAAGGTTAAAAAAACAGGCTTCGGCTCAGGTAATAAACACAATGAACAGAAAATGAAATAACGAACAAGGAATGTTTAACTCTTTATTTACTGAACAACATGTGTTACATGGGATACTATTTATATTAACTAATTAAATATAGATAAAAAATTTTTAGCAAAATAAAAAACAAATACACATTTTTGTGTATCAGGGTATTAATAACGACATTATTTATACTAATAAAAAGACAAGATTTAAGGATCTAAGAAAGTTTCAGGAGAATGCTCTTTGTCATATTTTCAACTCTTGAAGAGGTTTTCCCTACAATTGCTACAATTAAGTTTTGGCTTCTTTGGTTTAATGGTTGTTAATTCATGAAATAAATATGCTGTTTATTTAAATGGTAAAAATTTAGTAACATACATTTTACAATATTTACAATTACAGCCTTGGAACAATAAATACTTTGTATCTATGTCACTAACATTCGCAGAGTTTATTCTTCTCATAGGATGAGGTGTCATGATCTGGCCTGTTTGCTCTCCCTTAATAAGTCATTCCTTTCACCTGTCTTTTTCCCTCCCTGCCTCAATTATAATTTATTCCTCTCACCTGTTTCCTCTGGGTTATATTCAGTTCAGCCTGAACATTCAGTGCCAGATCATTACTTGTCTTTCTGTTAGTCTGTCCATTCAGTTTTTGCCTTGGTTCGTGTCCTGGATCCTAGCTGCCAGTGGAAAGAGGGTTTTTGTGTTTGTCTCGTCTCCTGATCGTCCACTGTTCCTCCCCCGCGGAGTCCTCTGTTTTTGGCTCAATATGTGGGGAGGTTCAGTTTTTATCTCAGTAAGCCTGGCTCCAGGGAGGAGACTAGTTTAAAGTCCTGCATCAAGTTCTGGTTCCACATCCTGTCTCGGCTACCCTCTTCCATTGAGCCTGTTCATCTGCACCTGATCCTGTCTGCTCCTGTGTGTGACCGCCTGGTCACGCTTTCGGACCGTGTCAGACTCTGAACCCTCCTGGGAGCCTGTGGATGCCTGGAAGCCTGCATCCTGCCACCTGTTCTGTTCCTGTCTGTTCTGGATCCCTGACCAGGATCGGCTTCCAGCATGTCCTCTGAGACGGCAGCACTTGGGGACAGTCTTGGACTGGACTGTTAAACCAGGTAAGTGGCCAACTCAGATAATCATCTTCTGTCAGATGATCGTGGTCACTTACCTGTGTTTCTCCTGCAGAGTGTCTGTGATTGGGCGGTGCCCCGCTCCCCATCCTGCAGTGTCCACGAGCCAAAGCTCCACTTAAGTTTTTCTTTTATTCAATAAACGTTTTGAACTTTCCTACTGGCTGTCTCTCCTTGAATACTGGGTCCATCTGTCCTCGGTTCATGACATGAGGCTGGATTTATTGATGCAGCAAATCCACTTAGCCGTAGATGAGCAGAAGCAGTCTGTTATAAAAAAAAAATGGAAACGGACTTCAAATTATGTTCCACATAAGCTGTCAATAACAAACTGACTTTTTCCTCCCCTTATCTGCCACTACTAAGCTTAGGTGATAAGATTTGCCAATCAAACTGCTTTGAAATTAAAACAATTTCTCCCTTTCCTGTTTCAGACTTCGAGGAAAAACAGAGCTAAAGCCCGAGCAGCTGATTTATGACAACAGACTTCTAAACTACAATGCGCAGCTCTCATCTGCTGTCAATATTGTGCTCAGAGACACTGGACTGCTATCTGAGGACAATTTAAACTAGACTCAGTGTCTTTCTGCTCTTTCATTGTTCCATCAAACCCTTTCCTTCATCCATTACCATCTGGGGTGGTTGGTGCCCCACTCCAGCAGTCTTTGGGGGAACAGTGGGGTACACCCTGGAGAAGATGCCATTCCTTTGCAGGGCATTCACTGAAGTCAAGCACCATATTTTTCTGCCTATTTTGGTTACACGATTATTATGGTTTAAATTAAACACTCAGCCTCATATTTTTATTGAATTAACGCAGTGCAGATAAATCAACATAAGCATTAATGTTAAATATGAAGCAATAGCACAAAAATTGTGTTTCCTATTGATTTCTCTAACAGGTGCTAAACCTGTAAACATGCATTTACTTCACATTTTATATCAAAACGGTGTCTTTAAAACCTCTCTTATGCTGTTTACTTTTATGCTGATGAATAGTCTAATTTGCACTTTGCCAACTTTCATTTTTCTGAATGAAAAGTCAAACACATTAACGTTGGGTATTTGTTTTGTAAATATTTCTGTTTCAGGACTTTGAATTTGTTTTGCCTGATACATAAATACATCTTAAACTTTTTCTTTTTTTATTCTGTCTTTGGTTTTATTAAATGAGACATTTCACTAACACCTACATTTTTAAATGTACTCAAAGAAATAAACAATAGGTCGCCAAGATTTGCTAGAGGAGCTGCAGCTGGATGATTGCTTCCAGCAGTAATTCTGTCTGTCCAGGGCCCAGTTTCAGGAGCTACTGCACAGGGGTTTATTGCAGGGGGATCAATAAACTTCCACTGAGTTTTTGAATAAAAAAACGTTGTCTCTGATGGGCTCTATCACCCTACAATACAACCTCATCCAGTCAATCATTGGTTAACCAGACACGAACCAACAGAAACATTTTTAATTTATGAACTTCCTTTCTTGGAACCATCTCGTCCTTCAGCTGGATTTGTTTACTTCATACTACTGAGCAGCCTGCACCACACACAGCTGCTGTGGCCACAGTGCTGGGTCATCTTCCAAAGGTACACTGCTTACTAGCTGAGTGGATGATGTTGTACTCTCGCCATCTGGTGGCACAACATAATTATCACAGCCTGGCTGGATAATTTTGAAACTTTCTGTCACACCCCATCCCTGTCCCATTCTGAAAACAAACACACATCAAACACAGTATAAGACTTTTCCAGTGTGGTTAATTATATTTAATAGCTAAAGTAGAAATTTGAGGATTTTGTGCAACTGTAACTCAGAGGAAAATACTGCAGTTTCTACTAAACCTATTCATATTTATATTGCAGGTAACATATTTCAACACTTTCATCCTCATTAAAAACTTCTACCCCTAAAATGACGATTTAATCTTTATCAATTGTGGTAAACTGAAAAATTCTTTAGCAAGAACTCTTTCAAAAAAATCGTCTTTGACTGGAAAATGAATTATGACAAAACAAAAATAACAGGAAAGACCAGCAATGCTACAAATATGACAATTGTTAAACTAATAAACATAAAAATTACTTCATTTAAAATCAACTAGAACCTTAACATCCACAGCTGTACACAATAACTCTCATTAAAGCAATGTTAATACAAAACTACAATGCAGAGAAGTTGGCAATAACTTCCTTATGTCTAATAATTTAAAGACAAAAAGACAGACTATAACTATCTGTAAAACCTATCGGTGATTTTAGAAAGGACACCTAAAAACCTGAGCATTTCCTGAAATTCAACTTAAAAAAACAAAACAAAAGACCTACAGAACCTATAGCCCCATTTCCACTACTTTTTTGAAACGGTAACCGAAAAAAAACTGTGTAAATGGCACGCAAAACCAGACCATGCTAGACACAACAGAACCGCGCTAAACTGGTGCTAGCTCATCAGCAGGGCTCAGTTGTGCCAGCCAGCCAGCTAACAGCTGTTTCTGCATCAAACATGCTCACACTGTCTTTGTCAAGCAATGCACAACTGTTCACAACGGTGTCTGGGAACATCATGAGGTCCCTATGCTAATTGAATTGGTTCTAGGAAATGTTCGGTTTCCTTGCCCTATCTCTTTCCTAAATGCCAGCAATTCGAACAGCACTTATTTTGGGGAGCATCGACACACTTCCTTCATAGCTTCAGTGCACCAACCAATTTGAGGTATTCAAATCAGGCCTTAGATTGCTGTTCCAGATAGCCAACCTGTAATGATTCCTGTCTGTTTCTGCCTTAGATGCCACTGTGTGGAGTCCCATGACATCACTCTGCTCTCTCTGCAGCAGCTGCTGTCATTCATTTGAGTAGACATATCAACTTGTCTCTTTCCGGTTTTCTTCTGCCTGCCTTGTCCCTGCTGCATGCTTCTGCCCCTGTCTGATCTCTGGAAATCGACCTCCTACCTTGCGTTGTGGCCCATCAGTGGACCCTCTCGTCTAGCCCACCTGGAAACCTCTGCCTCACGATTCTGTGTGACAGGACTTCTCCCACTAGCCTTAGTTCTGTTAAGCAATAAAAAGATACGGATCAATGAACCAGTGGTCCGAATCATTCCTACAGTGCCACTAGGATCATTTATCAGAGCCAGCTCAACCCTCAGTTTCTAAAAAGATTGATGACATTCATTCATTGCACCTTCAACACTAACTCTGTTTTGCTCCCAAAAAATTCAGTTCCAGTCAGTTTACCTATTAAAAAACCTTTTAAAGGTTACTTCCTGAGTTGTATGAATTTTGACTCTCCCGATTCTGTGCAGGTATTAGACAATGTGCAAAAGTTACAGGATCAGTGCCTTCCTACTTTAGAACCTGCTTAACATTAAATGTGTGTGTGTAAAATTCCAACTGAAACCACCAAACATATTGATGTATGGCATCTTTCTCTGTAACCCAGTTCTTTTGTTTGCTGTATACGAAAATAGGGTCGATTCAGTCTAACGGTGAGGAAAATAAGTATTTTGCTATTTTGCAACCTCTCTATAGAGTCAGAAAGGGGTCAAAGTATTTGTAAACCTCTAAAACGTAGTTGAAACTGACAAAAAATAAAAGTTGAAACTAAAAAATTATATTTAATGTACATTTTTTACATTATAATGTGAGAAACTAAAAAAGCCAACATACAATAATACGAATTGAATCTAAAGTCAGATTAGTATTTTGATTACACCTTTTCCTTTTTTTCCCCCTTTTCTTTATTGCAGTTTTAAATTTTTCTTTTCTTTCAGTTTCTTTTTTTTTTTTTTTTTTTGGTCTCAAATTCCTTTTTCAGTTTCAGGATGTCTTTTTTACACTATCAAATCAGTTTTTTTCAGATTTTCACCCCAGTCTGACAGGAGTGGGCAGGAAACATGATTGAAAGCTTACAGCAGCACTGGAGAGATGTCCCTTTCCATGTTGCATGTTTAAAAACTGATTTGAAAGTGTAAAAAAAATAAAATAAAATCCTGAAACTGAAAAGGGAATTTGAAACTAAAAAGAAAGGGGTCTGAATATGAAAAAAATAAAACTAAAACTAAAATCTAAAACTGCAAGAAAGAAAAAGAAAAGAAAGAGTGTAAATAAAATACTAAACTAAAATATGAGCTTTTCAAGCTGAGGGGAAGAATTTAGTTTAATTGTTATTATTTTATGTTTGCTATTTGAGTTTCTCATATTTTAAGGTAAAAGTTTGATGTTCAGTATCAACTTATATTTTTCCAGCTTCAACTAAGATTCATAGGTTTACAAACATTTTGACCCCTTTCTGACTCCATACATCTCTCACTTAGAAATCATGGAGCGATCTGAAATTGTCATCATAGGTGCATGTCTAATGCGAGAGTCAGAATCTAAAAAAAAATCCAGAAATCATAATGTATGATTTTTCTTTTTATTATTATTATTTGTATGATACAGCTGCAAATAAGTATTTAAACACCCAAGAAAATCAATGTTAGGCAAACTTAACCAAGTGGTGACACAAAATAGCCGTTAGTGCAAGAAGATATGAATGAAAAAACAAATGTTAGAAAAAAAGAGCGGACAGAGATGGGGTACTGAACCCTGGGACACAGTCAGTACTCCGTGCTGTCTTAGGTGGTGGAGAAGAATGATAAAGGTCCTTGAATTTTATTTGTTTATTTTTCCTCTGTCTCCTTTTGACATCCTAAATTTTTACTATTCTGTATTTCTTTTTCTCCTGTGTAATGTCCTCGTACACCAATGGAATTCACTTTTTTTTCTTGTATTATTGATATATGAGGTTAGGTAAAGAATATATGATGAAAATGAATGTGCAAATTGTGAGAAGCCCCTGTGGATCACTGTGACAATAACTTATATAAATGATACAGGTATTCGTGGGCTGGACTCCCGTATATGCCGGATCCTGGAACAGTGTATCAGCTGTACCACCTGCAGACATGCGTTCCTCACTGTATCACAGACTGGACGGATGCCCGTGAGACATTAGGACACTGGCAAATTCAAATTGGGCAGCATGTTGTGTAAATGATGCCATCTTGTGGACAAACACTGATCTGGAGGAAACCATGAGGTTTATATTTGTATGTGGATGCATCTAGAAAAAAACATTGGATAGCTTTTAGAA